ACCGCCAAAGCGCGCGAGTCTTACTCGATGCTACGTCGTCGGAGTAGGTTACTCGAAGTAAAGTGGAAAGAAATGTCATCTGGTCGCTTTCGACGTTATCGGTACTAGTCTTTGCAGCTTATGCTACGACCGAGCTTTGCATCCCAGTTAACATCGAATGAGCCGTTCGTTTCCAGGAGCTCATTCGAATCAACATCATCAGCAACGACTGGAAGCAACCAGCTTGGCCGAGGACTTGAGTAGGACCGCGAGACGAGCGGGTCTTCTTCGCCCAGTCGGACCTAAATGAGACGAGGCGCTAGCACGCACCAAGACCGGTTCATGGCGCTCAACATACCATGAACCCTTTCTTCGATTGCGATCGCTAGGACCACCAGTCGTTTCCAGGCGTCTGTGGTAGAGTGACGTTGCGAGTCGACGACTCTGTACTGCATTGGGTAGACAACCAGCATCGACGTACTTACAATCGGCCTGCACGGTCCACAATCAACATAAACCGTCCTCTGATTGGGCGTCCTTTCCGGATACGTCGATGGTGCCCAATCACAGGCCGCATTTCGGTTCACGGATTTTGCGCGCCACAATCCAAATTCCGACAATCCAAATTCCGACAATCCCATGGCGACCTTCCGCAGCGTGGTTCTGGCGCAGCCCGAGATCGCATCGATCATCTTCGGCCTCCAGTTTGGCGTCTACGAAGACGTCGCGTCCCGCTTCCGCGCCTTCAACCACCTCGTGGACGTGCGCCGGGCGATGGACGACGACGTAAGCTCCTCCACGTATTACGCCCTCGACATAGCATTCCAGACGAACTATCTCGCTCGCAAAGATGGATCGATGACGACGTGTATTGACGCCAAACGCTTGTGCCTCACCAAGCAACTCACGCGCGACGCTCGCTTCCCGCTGCACTTGGCGATTTGCGAAGGTGACTTGGTCGCGACGCAGCGGATCGTCGCCTGCCGCCCCGACCTCGTGTACCAAGAAGCCATCGAGGCGGCGCTCATGACTGGCCATCTTGAGATCGCAGACTTTCTACTGCAGACGCACGCTGTCGACCGCAGCTTTGACGACGAGACCTTGGGTTGCGTCTCGCGGCCGCTAGACGCCTGGCTGCCCGCCGCGCTGCTGTCGACCAACAATGCGGATGCGCTAGCACTGCTGTGGCGTCGCCGCCAACTCGAGTGGCCGGGCGATGTGCTCCGTTTGGCCAGCGATGCGGGCGCGCCTCAAGTCATTGCGTTCTTGTACAAGCACATGCCTCACACAGTGTACGACGGCTTCGTGGACGTTGCCGCCAGCCACGGTCTCTTGGAGATTGTCATCGACCTCGTCGCGCGCGGTTTCAGCTGCACCGCCGATGCACTGGACACGGCCGCTACGAATGGTCACGTCGACATCGTCCGCTTCCTCATGGAGCAGTGCCACCAAGTGCCGTCGCGGACGACGATGCGAAACGCTGCGAACGAAGGACACTTGGCCGTCGTCAAGTACCTGCACGAGCTCGGGACCTTGGATAATGCAATCAAGACCGCTTTCGGGGCTGCTTGGTACGACCACGACGACATTGTGCGGTACCTTGTGGCCAACCGCCGCGAGGGCGACTGCACCCTGCGCTTCGACGCGCCCGTGTCGGACCTCGTCTTCATTGCGGCGTACTTGCTCTCGATCGGACACACGCTGGAGAAAATCGCAGTGTGCTTCTCGACCATTACAAGGAAGCGAATGTCGGGCGTCCTGGAGGTTGTTGCCTTTTTCAGCGAGCGTGGGGCTGTGCTTGACGCTACCTGGATGATCGGCGCTTGTGAGCGAGGCGACATGGACGTCGTCGTCTACCTCCACGACCACGGCGCAGCGTCAGCTCCCGAAGCCATCGATGAAGCTGTGTGGAACGAGCAATGGGCCATCGTCGATTTTCTCATGGCGCATCGAACCGAAGGCGCGACGCTCATTGGCATTGAGTTTGCACTTGTCCACAGCCAGTTTGATCTGATCACGCGGCTTTGGGCCAAGCAGCCCGAGCTCCGCGACGACGACCTCTTGCGCACCGCCCTTGTCAGCAACGTGCCCGACGCTGTTCATTTTCTGCTGCAAGCGGGGGTCGGAAAGCCACGCGAAATGCTCAGCTTGCTTGCTCCAAGATGGTCGCACCCAGCTTTGCTCCGAGTCCTTCTGCCGTACGTCCTGGACGCGCCGACGCCGATCGAGAACCTCGCGCACCTCGTCGAGACATTTGCTAACGTGGCACACAACATTTCCAAGTCCAACCTCTTGGTCATCAAAGCCGAGATGCTTCGCCAGGCCAACGACCTCGTCGACGCCAGCGACGACCTCCAAGCTCACGCCGCCACACTCTTGCGTCGGGGCGCCGAGACGACCACAGAACGTGATGATGGCATGCGGGTGCTGGACCGCGCGGCTCTCTTTGACTGGGCACTCGCAGTGCTCATCGTACAATTCTCGACGGACGCTCCGACCATGGCCGCCCAGAAGACGCGACTGGACGCGTGGATGATCATGGTCGACGACCCTCTTCTGCGCTCACAACTCCGCACTCGCCTTGACGAGAAGGGCAGCGTTTAGCCGCGGAACGACAGCAAGCTAACAAACACTTTGAAATGTAGTTTTCCTGGCAATTTGATATTTATTCCGCGGGGTGGGCGTAGCTTGTCCCCACGGCCAGCTTGTGGACGGTCTATTTGATGTGCATCGTAAGTGTGTCGCCTGTCGTCGCCTTGACCGTCGTCAATACCACGTTCGGCAGGTTGTCGAGGGGTAGGGTCGCCACGGGGTGGTACTATTTCTCGTGCTCGCTCGCGGCGGCCTTGGAGCTCCGTGAATCGCATAAAATCGACTTGGCTGATGCTCCGCGCCGGCTCGTGCGCCATGTTGAACGAAATTGCCGGCAACATGGACCCAATTGCCCAATACTAGTTGACAAAATTTGTACTTTCTTATACAAAGGAATAGTGTACTGAAGGCGCTCTTGTCCACGCTGTCGCAGTACCGCCAGAGTGCGCGGATCTCTGGACTCGACGCGACGTTCTAAGAGTACCAGGCTACAACGAGCGTAGTTGATCGTGTCGAGATGATCCAACCAATGTTCGCCGAGGTAGTACAGTAGCACATGCCGAAACTTGGATGCCGCCTAATTTGCATATATATCGAGTCGAACGAGATTTCATCTGCTGCCGTTTGACTTTTCCGAATGCGGGGCCGTTGATTTGCTATCTGTGGTCTGCAGATACAGTAAGGATCTGACGGTATCTGGAGCAATAGGAAGATGAGCATGGATACCATCGAGTGCCCGCGCCAATCCAGAAATCGATCCTCTGGATAGTTTTCAGGGCGGATTTTACCAGTTTGTATGTATCTTGAGACCGAGTGGCAATCGGATGCTATCGCGCCGTCTGTCGAAACGTCTTGTATTCACTGTCAAAGGGTTTACATCAATTCTGTGGACCGTTGAATATCGTTGTCTGTCGGAGAGATGCACCACGATGGCCCCAGTGCGACCAGCGGTGTCCAACTCGCAACCTCGACCAATCCACTGGCTCTTCTCGTGTCGAGCTGAATCGAGACGCCGGCGTGAGCGGCTTGTCGGCGTACGACCTTCTCTCCCATTCCAACAGCTGTGGATTCCTCCACAACCACTTGGACTGCAGACGCCTCTGCCAGCCGCATGCAACACGAGACGAGCCTTTAGCCCACATGTTGTTGACTATTCGACTTGAATGGAAACATGTCGACAACCCGAAGCAAAACTATCCGGTCGACGACCCCGTCCCGTGAGATTTCCAAGCCAACAAAGTCCCAGTTAGTTTTCCTTCGCCTACGACCGGCCAACATGCGCGCAACGTGCTTGCTGGTGTTGGTGCTATCTTCCGTGACAGCCCTTCTCATCCAAGACCCTGGCACGACCGTCGTCACCAACAGGTTGGCGAAAACATGACGTTGACCCTCTCCTGCCCGGGTGCCAAGACCGCGATCAACAAGATCCTCTTTGCGTCCTACGGCTTGCCCGACGGCGAAGGTCTTGCCGCCAGCGCCAACCGAAAATGCCACTCTCCCCGGTCCGTGTCGGTTGTCGAGAGCTACTGCCTCCAGCAACAGACATGCAGCCTCTGGGCCGTCAACGAGTACGACGACACATGGTCCAAAGTGGCTTCCTAACCTTCTTGTCATGTTAGCTGGTTCACCGATGAATGCGTCGGCACGGGCAAGTTTCTGACCGTCACGGCGCAGTGTGCGGCCGCCACACCGACCATCGTCGTCGACGCCAGCGCGGTCCTTGCGGTTGCCAATGTGACCGAGAACAGCACGCTTTCGCTTGTCTGTGACGCACCCCTCGTCGTCTCCAAGATCTTATTTGCCTCGTACGGGACGCCGGTGAACACGGGTGTGTACGCCGCCAAGGGCAAGTGCGACGCGACCAACTCGACGCAAATTCTGCAAGCAGCGTGCGTCGGCGACCAAGTTTGCAATGTCAACGCCGACAACAGGTCTCATCTCTCGCCACACCTCGAGAGGACCTCAACTTTTGACATAGCGTGTTTGGCAACCCCTGCCACGGCACTGGTAAGCGACTCACCGTCACGGCCTTGTGTGCTGCAGCGGCGAGCAGCACCAAGGGCAATGCGACAAGTGCGCCTGGTTCGACCGGTAGCCCGATTTCTCCCAGCAGTACCAGTAGCCCAACGTCTGGCACGCCTGCCGCGGGCACAGCCAGCTCATCCTGTACGAATCTCAGTGCTGAACCCTCTAACCTCACATTTCGTAGCTACACCTGTGATCATTGGCGTCGTCTGCGGAGTTGTGGTCGTCGTCGCCGTCGTCGTCGGCTACATCTGCTGCCGGCGCCGTCAGAAGCAAACCGCTGCGAACCAGGCGACACCCAACTACTACTACGAACTCCAGAGCACCACCAACGGCATGGGCTACAAGGGCCGCAACAGCAGCGTCGCAACAGGGCCGACCGGTCCCACGATGGGCGCAGCGACCCACCGGCGGGTGGATCCGGTGACCGAGCCGCATGTGAACCTTGACATCACGCCTCTTCTGCACCACCGCCTCGTGCTCGAAGATCTCCACGTAACGAGCCGGAAGCCGTTGGCGTCTGGCGCCTACGGTGAAGTCTGGCTTGGTGTCTACGGTGGCCAGCAAGTCGCGATCAAGCGACTCAAACAGAGGGACCCACGCTCCGTGCAGAGGTTTATTGACGAGATCGTCCTCATGTCCCAGTACAAATCACTATCCTGCAAGTGAAGATATATCGACTAACTACTCTCTTGTGTAGACTCGATAGCGACTATGTCATCAGGTTTGTCGGCGCCAGCTGGACCCGCCCCATCGAGATCGAGTGCGTCGTCGAGTACATGGACCTCGGCGATCTTCGCAACTACCTCATGACGACGCGCCCGGGTGTCTTTACGTGGAGCCAAAAGTACGACGTCATCCTGAGCGTCATCCACGGCCTCGTGTACCTGCACACGTTCAAGGTCCCGATCATCCACCGCGACCTCAAGAGCCGCAACATCCTCCTCGACTCGGTCAAGGTTTGTTACAAATTTGCGATTTTACTGCAACCTAACCCTATGGTGGTTAGGGTACCAAGCTCACGGACTTTGGCACGTCGCGCGCCGCCGAGGCCGACGACACGATGACGACAGGCATTGGCACGTACCAGTGGATGGCGCCCGAGATCGTCGCGGGCACCAGCTACACGGCGGCCGCCGACATTTACTCGTTCGGCATCGTCTTGTCGGAGCTGTGCACACACAAGGTGCCGTACGCGGACCTGCGGCACCCAAAGACGGGCAAGGCGATGCAGCAGCACTACATCTTGCACGAGGTGTGCGAAGGGCGGCTGCACCCAACGTTCGACGGCGTCGGCGTGCCGACGTGGGTACCGGAAGTGGCCAAGCAGTGTCTGCAGCTCAACGACGTCGACCGACCGACGGCGCTGCAGCTCTCGGCCATCCTCTCCAAGTACCGTCAGAGTATGCGGGCTCTAGCTCCCATATCCCGGGAACTCAACACCATGTAAACTCCAATTATGAATACACTGTAAATTGTGTACATTTCCTGACAATTCCACCTCACAAACGCAAGTTGCGGGATCCGCGTCTCGTCGTCTTCGGCATGAGTGCATAAACGTATCGAGCGCATGCACGTTTAAAACGACCGACGAACTCGCGATTCGAAAGTTGGGAAAGAGCGCCAGCCTCCACGAGGCCATAGTGCAAAGCACAACGTGAGGTCCTGGCCTTTGCCGTCAGTGAAGCGGCCTAAACGTCGACGCGCGTTCTATTGTAGTTGCGAGTCAAAGACACCATACTTACAGAACCGACAAAGCTCGAATTACAGGAAAGCGTCGCACAAGCGGCTTACGATCTTGTCGATTCGCTACGTGATGAGAGCGCAGCGATGGCCAATTGCTTGGTTGGATGCGTCCGCAATCACGGTGCCTGTCACGGTGGTTCGTTGCTGCTCTTCGGTGTCCTCGCTCGCGCTCTGAGCAACGTCGACGCTTGCAACGGTTGCGAGTTCTCGCCAAAAGAGGTCCCTTTCACCTCGCGACCAGACGTCGTTGGACAAATCTAGCGACGTGAGGCACTTGACCGCGCCAACAATGGCCCGTAGTAGCGAGAGGCACTGCGACAGCGAGCAGCGGTGCGACGCCAGCGCCAGCGACCGCAGCTTCGGCCAGCGAGGCACCGCCTCCAGCCAGAGACCAAG